TACGCAGGAAGGGCAAAGAAGCATCCATCGTCGTCGTTTGCGTCGTTGGCGGCGGTGGGATGTATGTACAGTATATATGAACAGAGAACGAATGGATGCGGAACGAACCAAGGGCCAAGGGCGAAGGGAGCCAGCAACAGCGGCCCTGTGGGCGGTGGATGGCTGCAGCAGAGCCCAGCCCAGGCGAGCACGACCGACGCTGCTCGGGGCCAGGAGCAGGACGCGGTAAGGAGGGAGTAAGGAGGGCTGCAGTACGTCAGTCAGTAGTCAGTCATCCCCGGTACCGTACCGTTCGTACTTTTCGTACTGTTCGTACCGTTCGTCCCTGGCCTGGATCGTTTTTTTTTTTTTTTTGCAGTTTCAAGAAGCCCGCGCCAAGACCAGGCCTGGAACGCAATCGTCGCGTCCCACGCTTCTGGTTTTGCTTCTTCCGGCGGGAGATGGATGCCCTGTTGCAAAAATGAGCAGCCAATACAGTGGACAGGAGACGATGTTCTGTGCCTGAGTCGAGTTACACAGCTCGGGTCTCTCATGGGAAATATTCTACAGCAGCCATGCATGCATATTCCCGACGGTCCCAATCGCAATGCATCGTCATATCTAGTGGATATCTCTCTATCCTCCTACATAGCTCTTGAGCTCAAAACACACTAGAACCAAACCCCCTAACAATACGGAGTACGGAGTACACAAACTGGCCATTTGCAAAAAGGAAGCTTGCTTGGTAAAACCGTCGCGTATCTCTCCGGTAAACTCTAATACAACACAAACCAGGAACCAGGAACCGAGCTCAATCAATTACCAAACACAAGCCAAGATGCGAGGAAACCAACAGGATTTCCATGTCTGTTCTGCTCTTCCATCTGTTCTTCATCCATGCTTCGGCAGATCACGCCATCCCATACCAAGCTTCCAAGCTTCCAAACTTCCATCAGACTCCTACGACTCCACCTGCGACCCTCGTCATATCGGCCCACGGTGCGTTTACGATCAACCAGCGATAATGAGACGGCGAGGGTGTTATGATGTGTCGTGTTGTAGAAGTATGTCTGTCCCAAGACTTCCAGCGTTACACAGGAGGCGAGAGAGCGTGCATCTTTTGATCTCTCACGGCCGATCTGTCGGTACCTATCACTAGTGGTACATACAGTACAGTACATACGTACCGGGGGAGAGGGAAGGGTGGGGAAATTGTAACATATCTTCACACATACTCCGTATACATTCATTCATTCATTTATTCAAACTGACGATACTTTCTGTTCTCCACTTTCCTAATCAATTAGCTGCTTCTACATGTCTGGAATTGGCCAAATGGTTAAATAAGAGGAACAGCAGAAGAAGCATGACGATGTTTTGGAGCTTGCAGAAAGCAGCAGCAGTAGCAGCAGCAGATCTGAAAAAAACCCTCCCAGCTTCAGCCACACTCCTCTCAAGAGCAAGGGAAAAGAGGAAAAAGAAATAAGAAAGGAGCTTTTGTTTTTCCTCTTGACATTTTTCTTTTCAGCTGGTTTTTGTGCTGTATATTTCTTTTCCTTTCCTTTCTTTTTTTATCTCTCTCCTTTCTTTCCCTTCCATGTCTTCTTCTGAAAACTCGTCTACGAAAACTGCCGAAGCCGCCCGCCCACCCAGAAAGCTAAAAATGGAAAAACGAAGAATTGTCCATCAATCTATCCCGATCCATCTTCCCAAAAAACCCCTTTCCGCTCCCGCTTAGGGACGGCAAGAAATCTTGTGACAAAACGAATCGATAAATCAGTAAAACCAATAACTAAACCAATAACTCGTCTTCCTCCCTGATCCTTTCTGCAGAAGACAGAAAATGGTGTGGGGGGAGACATAGTCAAGACGTAGACTGTGCTTTTCCGCAAATCCCCCCTGATCGACAACGGAGAAAGGAAACAATTTTTTTATCTATGGTTTCTTTTATTATTTGCCCCTGTCCCTTCCATTTCTTCCAACCGACCTATCCCAACTCCTCCTGGATTTTCCCTTTGAATACCCACAGTTGAAATTTGGCCAGCCAGCTATGTAACTACTGGAATTGGGGAAAGTTCAATCCATGGGGGTCAGGATGGCCCGATGGGAACCTGGGGCTGAAACTTTGGGAAGGAGGTGGGAGGTTGCTT